TCATTTATGTTTGATAATCTCTATGAGAACATTGGACCTGATATTGAAGTCTTAATAACTCCTTTGCAAGCATTGAAAAGTCTCTCAATTGTGTACAATAAACAGATACATGAGAAATAGTGTTCAATAGCAGCCAAGTGGAACTAGGGAAAAGTAGATGTTGAGAGAAAGCTCCTAAATTATAATCCGTTTACCCTACTGCCTCTGTTCTCCACTGACAACACCTGGGTCATCTTCAGGATGGCAGAACTTCAAAATGCAGATGTGTGCTATGCATATGCAAAGAGAGTACAGAATATGGTATTTTCCAAACATATATTTTACCCCTCCCCAAATCCATGGAACCTATTTCTGGAATTAATTTAAGAAGTTCTTCCTTTTTAGGTCTTGACCTCTGCCTCAGTATTTCATCCCTCATTGTGCACTTGGGACTCCAAGAGGATTTAAACTCTCTTCCAGATGAGATCTCTTTAGCAATGTGAAGACAATGGTCATGTTCTCCTGTCTCTGCCATCTCCTACAAATATTCCTTCTCTGGTAGGGTCACTATTTCCTTACTATGATTGTGTTATAGTTTTACTTATTTCACTTAAACTTCTGTACCCAGAATCAACCTGATTCTCTTGAGGTGGCCAAATGAGCAAAGACTAGAAAGGAACTATTTGCCTCTGTCGTAGTGGGCATTGCTTTGCATTTTTGTTCTCTAGTAGAAAAGCAGCAGTTAAATTCTGGACACCAAAGACTAACAATCCCATTGGACAAGCAACTGAGTTCTGGGTGCTGCATTTTAATATGGAAACATACTATGGCCCAAAGGAGAGTATCTATTTGAAACATTAAATAAAGGGTTTCAGAGAGCATTTGAGAGAAAATACGTTTGTATTTTCTTATTTACAAGCTATGCAGCCCCTAAAACAACTATCCAGTTAAATGACTGACAACTTCATTGGTGAGAAAACATTGCTCTGTCTTTTTAGTTATGTCTCTATGTATGTGTGTGCATATGTATACATTTTTTCCATTCAGATTTTGGTGAATAGCTTATGGCCTTTTTTGAGAGATGGGACAAGGTCAGAATAGGTCAGGGAACAATTAAACTAATGGTCAAACAAGAGCACAGCATAAAGGTCCTGAATTCTGCGTAATGCAATATCTCCTTATGTTATACTATTCATTATGATAGTAAGGCAGTGATATAGGTACAACAATGCCAAGGTCCATCTGCATTTTAAATTTGCTCCTAGTGCAGGGTGTTTTTATACTAAATCTTGCAGCATTACTACAGAGGTAGTAGATACTGCTGGTGCCTTGTCCAGATCTTACTTGCCATGCTGCTGCTGTGAGTGTTGGCTGCTAATGACTCACAGATGCTCTTTTTTCCAGAGAATTGTCCTTGGTTAAACGGGGTACTCCTTGCTTGGGATGCTATACCCCCACTACTTCCTGGGGGCAGCCATGGCCAATGACTGAGAGACAAGAACGTACACAGGCTAGTCACTTGTCTCAATTTGGGCCTACTCACTGAGATCAGTCTGAGGCAGACTCCAGGAGACACCACGTCCTTGCTTTGCTCTTTCCTCTGCCTCTTCTGCTTCTGTGACTCTCATTTTTCCTGAGGCACTCCTCACAATAAAGCACCTGCACTGGAATCCCTGTCTCAAGCCCTGCTTCTAGGGATTCTTACCTAAGACAGCATCATGACCATTTTCCCCAGCTGTTACCACTTAGACAGTTATGAAAGAGAATGCTACTTTGTGCAGTGACTGTATAAGGAAACTTGACATTTTAGGCAATGAAATCCAGCCATTTTGCTAAATATCTGTTTAGAAAATATGAGCCCATTTAATATGCTGTGTCTTCTAAGTGGATACTAACAAAAAACATTTAGTTGACTTAAGAATAGTTTTGGAAACAAAGTATGTGGCAATAAACAAAAGAGCAGAGTCCCTTTGAAAAATCTTCTTAATCGATGGAGTAGACCCATACATTGAGTTAGTTATATTGATAGTATGTGTTGCCTTGTTGAAGTCTTTGAAATTTCAGTGGAATGCAGATTACCATACAGATTCAATGCTGTCCTGAAATGAGTTACTCTGGACGGTGAATTCAATGTCATGATAGAATGCCATAGATGGAATACATTCAGGTGATGAACAGTGCACATGAGTCCCCCTACCTAACTCCCATTGTCAAGGCTTAAGGGTGGCAAGAGTGGATCTTCTCGGTGGAAGAAATGTGTTCATCTAAACAAGTACAAGAGACAGTTTATAATTCTCCTAGTATAAGGCTCAGTCTTGAGTCCTATTGACCTGAAGGCAGAGGTGTTCAGCCTTGGAGCTGACAAGCACACCTGACTGCCCATTTCACTTATGTCTCCATGAAAGTTTGGGCTGATCATCTCTGGCTTGCATAGGTGACCAAATTTTCTGGGAAGAGATAGCCTAGAGAGGTGATCATAAAGGGTAGTGAGGTCCTGGAAGCAAGATTTGATTAGTTGGAGGGCATGGCACAGTGCCTGCTTAACCCAAGGGGTCTGGGACCCAGATAAGTAGAGGAGGAACAGTTTCAGGTCTCAAGTCCAAGGGCAAGGGCAAAGCTGGCAATAGAGAGCTAAGAAAATCAGAAACAAATGGGCAGTGAAGGAGTCTGGAGTCCTGGTCTATTGTTAGTGGGCAGTTGTCATGCTTCAAATGTGTGGCTTTTCCAGCTTTAAGACATAGGGGTCATTAAGACACAAATGTGAGGCTTTGTAAAACCAACTGTGAGTGTCATTCCTACTTAGAACTCCTAGACAGGGAGGATGTCAGATTCATTTTATTTTTAAAGAAGTGTCCATCAGTTGGGAAGTGCACAAATGAAGCTGGATTTTTCTTGGTCATTATTAAATGATCTTTGGTTCTCAGTTGGAAGGAAGAAAAAAAAAAGACAGCTTTAATATCTTTTCTGAAATGTCATTCTAAAGGGATAGCAGCAGAAGGTTTTTCTCTAAAATCTAAGATATGAAGATGACCTGTGGCTTGAAGGAAACAGATATTTGGTAGTGTACGTGGAGACAGGAGGCTGGGTTTGAAGGGTAAAAAAAAAGAAAGAGGTCAGATCCACTGTGGTCCATTACCAGAGATTTAAAAAGCCCTATGCTTGTTTCAGGAAGAGAGAACATTCAATAGCCCCCATGTCATCTCCACTTCTCTCCCTCGCCTCACCTCCTTCCTCCTGCCTTCTCTCTGCCCTGTGCTTCGTGCCTCATGCCACCTCTCCAGAACCCTTTCTTCTCTGCTAAAAGAAGCCTATTATGTGGTTTACTTTGCTTTCATCCTTAAAAAGAGCAGTGTAACTTGCTGACTACTTTTTTTTCTTTTTTAAGAGGAAAAGTCACATGTAATATAAATTAAAGTCTCATAAGAGAAAAGCACAGTGCAATTCTCTTTAGCACAGGGTATATGTATATATATATATTCAAAATAAAGTCTATCAAAATTGTTGCACTTGAGGTGTACCCAGAATCCTCCTCAGGGTAATGACTATGACGTTCCTCAGAGGTGAACTCATTTCCGTGACTCATTTTTAAAAACACATGTTCTGTTTGTCTTTTCACGCCCTCATCACAATGAGATTTAAAATAGAGACTCGTCATCACCTATTTAAGGGTTATGAATAGCACTGCCTTGAAAAGGCTTGGTGGAAATTTGTGCGGAAATCAAAAGTGACACATCCAATTCAGAAGCATCCAGTTCAGAAGCATCCAATTCAGAAACTAGGCAGACACAAAAACTGAGCTGGAGGTCGGATTGCCTAAATATTCTGAGCATGGAACATGATGATACCCCTTCCGCCTTCCCCCCTGCTGACAGTCAGATGCCAGGTGTCACTTCCAGATGGAGAAGTGAAGTGGAATGGTGGGAGCTCCGAGACTTAGCAGAATCTACCAAACACAGAAAGGATCCCTAAGTGGTAGATTGGATTACCAACCCCTTTCTTCACTAATCCCTGTGTCCATGCCCTTTGCTGGGTGGCTGGCAGTCCCTGCACTAGAGGTGGAGGAGACTTGTCCATGCCCTGACTGTGGGCTTGGCCACCTAACTTACATCAGCTAATGGAATGCTGGCAGAAGTCGCAGTGTGCCACCTCCAACCGAAGCCTTCAGGAGCTTTGTATGTGTGCACTTGCCCTCGCCATGAGAAGAACACCGTGTGGCTAGCCCACGGTGAGAGACAAGAGAGAGAAGATGCACTAACTGAGCTGAGTCTGGACTGGCAGAACCCCTGCTGATCCGAAGGTGCCTGAGTGGGAGTAAAACACGGCTATTTTAAACACTGGAGTTTAGAGTAGTTGTGAAGCAACGTTTCGGTGGAAATCCTTGACTGATATGAGCGTTGTTCCTAAATGTGGCCGTTTGAAGGAAAAATATACATAGCAGTGACTAGAAAATGAGAGTGTGAACAGATAACTGTTTTCTGAAAATGAGGACAGGCCTTGTGTGTATGGTCATAAGAGGGGCTGAGGTTGCTCTCCATTTTGAATATCCCACCCCTTAAGTTGGCCTAGGCAAAAGGTAAAGGGAATTGCAGAACATCCTGCCTTCCTGGACATGTTGGAAATCACTAGTATGTAAGTTCAGTGATGATAGACATTGGCCTCTTTGGAAGCAACAAACATCCCGAGTCTCACTTGGTGTCCATATGCAACGACAGGCTGGTGTACAAAGACCTTGACATCTCGCCTCCATGCAAGATAACTCTAAAGGGCTCTAGTGCTCCCTGGGGGAGCAGCTGAAGTCTTGCTTACAACTGTGTCACAACCCACCTTCTCCCTCTGCCCAGACCTGCTTCTCTTACCTTTTTACAAATCGTGCCCCATAGTACTCCTGAACAATCCTCCTCCATGTAAACCTCTGAAGCTCAGAGTCCATCCATGGGGACTTGGACCTGTGGTACACCACTCTCATTCAGCTTTCCAGAGGGTGCTAGGATCTGCAGGAAGGGGTGGGGGGAAGGCCTTACCCACTATCATGTGATTGCAGACATCGCAGAAAGTGGGCTTCTTGAAGATGTGTTCCTGGAAGGCATGGGCCTTGCCGCTGCCTGGGGGCAGGCCAGCCCTGGTGGGTGTGGATGTCAGGCTTCCGGGAGCAGGGAGTGGGCTGGAGCTGGGGCTGACCTCGGCCAGCATGTCTGCCTGCAGCTTCGCCTCGCTGTTGGTTCGCTGGAAGAAGTTGTCAGCACTTTTGCTCCGTAAACTCTTGGTCTTGAAAGAAAGTGATCGTTTTAGTTTCTGGAGCTGCAATGCAATGACAGAACAGTCTCTCTTACGATCGATCATGCAGATTCATGCTGTGGGGGTGAGGTCAGCTCCATGCACTGCACAGTTCTCACAGACACCCTCTGCCCCTGACGAGGCTCACATATGTCCCTGTGTGGGTGGAGTGATGTCAGCCTAGTGAAGAGGGACTTCAGCAACACACCGCCCCCCCAACTGCTGCCAAGCCAGACTAGCAGGAAGAGGTCCCATTGGATTTTGCTTCTGCCCTGTTCCTCCTCCCCTGCCTCCTTAAGGTCCCATACACACTCTGTCAAAATGTCCCACGACATTGGGTTGTTGACACCATTTCCTTTTTGAATTTGAATCACTGGAAATATTAAGTATACCGACTTGTAAATATTAAGTACACCAACTCACGGGCTCAAAGGCTGTGTGTGTAATGCTGGCCTTTCTCTCTTGTGATCACTTAGCGGCCACTTGTCTCTGCACACAGCAAAGCAGGAAAGGCCATTGTCTGACTTGAAATCAATCTGGCTAAACTATGCACAGAACACAAACCAGAAACTCTCAAGTTTGCTTGGGTCTGAAGCATGTGGATAATTCACCTCGTGTGTGTGTGTATGTGTGTGTGTCTGTGTGCATGTGTCAGCGGTGCGGGGAGAGACATAGTGTTGAATTATCTGTCCGAATTTCTCTGCTCTTCCTCTACCCTGCCTCTTGTTTTGGGCCACAGCAAAATACACCATTTCTCCTCTGCTCTTGGGACTTACGAAGAAGCACCCAAATGGGTTTGGAAAAGCTCTAGCTTCTGAAAGGTCTGGGTTTGAGTCTAGTCTGAACCTCTCATTCAGTCTTCTCATTGAAGCTAGAGGGATCTTTTAGAAACACAGATGCCAGCATGCAAGCTTCTTGTTTGGAACCCTTCAAGAATTTTCCCTTGTTCTTAGATTTAAGGAAAAGCTACTTGTCATGGGATCCAGACCTGGCAGATTCTGGACCCTGATGACAGCTTGTGCCACTTTCCACCTTGCTCTGTCCATTCCAGCCACAGTGGCCTTTTAAAAGTCTCATATTCACTATGCATTTTTACAACCAGCCCTTAATGCATACTCTTCCCTCTGCCTGGTTAAAAGAAAGGAACCATTCACTAGCTGCATGACCTGCAACAGGTCACTTTGCCTTTAAGGTGGTTTCCTTCTGTAATTGAATATCCATGGGAGTTCTTCCTGTTGGCTGAAATTAACATCTCTGGCCCAAAGCTGCAAACAAAAAGGTGCTCAGTACTCTGTTCTAATAAAAACCTCCATCAGGTGTGGTCAGACTTCCCTACACAATGTGTGAGACAAGCTGAAGTGGACTTGCCAAGCCCAGCCACCCCTGTCTCAAGGCCCCAACTTCTACCTCAAAAGACCAGGAAGATGGTCATGAGTGCTTGGAGTAGACTGAAAAAGGCCACAATTCTCTCCCTTCCCCTTCTGCATGCTGCTTTGCAATGTGACTTTGCAGCTCCTCCCATCAAAAGAGGAGCCTATTTTCCACTCCTTGAATCCTGAAGGTTTTGGAAATTTGACTAATAGAAGGTAGCAGAAACAATTTTAAGCCAGTTTCAATGTCAGACCTCAAGAATCCTTGCATGTGTCTGCCCTCCCTTTGGAACCCTGCCAGACTGCCATATGATAAACCCAAGGTAGCCTGAAAGATTATGAAAAACACACGGTCCAGTCAATCCCCCAACACTCCAGGGAGAGCCCAGAAGCAGAGCCACCCTGCTGTCCTTCCCTTTAAGGGAGTCTGGATGAATCCCGCTCAAATCATCAACCCACACACTCACCAACATTTTAAGCCATTAGTGTGTCCCTATCGTGTGTACACAGTGTCAAAGAAAAACTTTAGACAAATTAAATTTAACAGAGTTTAGAGAACATTTCAGGAATTGGGCAGCCCCTAGAGCAAAGAACAATTCAGGAATTGGTGAGCCCCCAGAACGAGAATAGGTTCAGAGAGACTCCCGGGCTGCCACATGATTGGATAGGATTTATGGACAGAGAAAGGAAAGTGATGTACAGAAAACTGAAGTGAGGTACAGAAGCAGCTGGATTGGTTATAGCCAGGCGATTGCCTTATTTGAACCTGGTTTGAATCGTTAGCTGCCTGTGGTTGACTAAGACTTAGCTACTTGTTACAAGAGTTGGTTCCAGTCTGTTTATACATCAAGTTAGGTTACAGTTCACTATGATCAGAGAAACGTTTAAGCTAAGCTTAATTTTACAACAGCAATAGAGAACCGATACAACGCTGCTCTCCCCACCCTCCTGGCAGGTGGTAGAACTGCACTTCTTTGCTCATCCAAAGTTGGACGTGGTCCTGTGAAGCCATCTCTCCAGTTCAGGGAGCTGTACAGCAGGGAGGTCCTGCAGGGCCCTCTCGAGCTGCCCCACTAGGGCTGGCAAAGGGGCATCATCAGCCAGAGAGGGCTGGCCAGAGAAACAGCAACAACCTGCATGGAAAGGTCACAAACAGTGGGCCAGCTAAGACTTGTCTCTTTCCCTTGGTCCTACAGCTCAAACCTACCACAGGAGCTACAGCTGCCAAAGGAAGAGAAGGAAGGAGGTGCCCTGAGGAATGTTGGAGTCGTGTGTTACTGTAGCACAATGGAGCATATCCTGACTGATACAGGGGCGTGGCCCATATGTCCTTGGGCACATGGCATTTATATTGAAGAGGACCCTCCACCTCTGAAACAGGTCAGTGAGAGGAACTATGAAACAACTCTTCATTGAGACTGAGCTCCACCCAGGGGAGGACCTAGAGACAGCAAAGGAGCAGAACAGACCCCTGACTTCCAGTGCTTCAGACTACAAACTGGACTAGTGCTGGAGGAAGGGAGACTGAAATAGCAGGTGAGACTGAGGTTTTATTTTACACAGCTTTTAATATGTTGAAGTAACCAGGTAGTTAAGGAATCTTAAATCTACGCATGATTCAAAATCTAAGCAAGATTTTGCTATGGGATGTGCAACCCATGGAGAATGTTTATCAAAGCCAATACCCTCACATAGACAAAATAAAATCATTTCCTCTTTCCTCCCCACTGAGTTCAGATGGTTCAATAAACTGGCTACTCATGTCTCAAAAATAGAATAATGACATCCACCCTGATTATATCAGGGCACCGTGTGAGGGTCACAGAGGATAATGTACGGGAGAGCTCTCTGATAACTCTACATGATGTAAATAGATGTAGGATGATGAGGGGCAAGATGGGGGGTGGGGGGTGGGGAGCTGGGAGGATGGAGCTGGGCTAGGTGCTTCACCAGGTGATCCCTCTTAAATCCTCCCAACCATTCAGAGAAGAAGTCATTTTACCTCTGGAGAAACAGAGCTTGAAAGAGGTTGAGTAACTTGCCTAAGGTCACACAGCTAATGTGAATCAAGACCGGGTTCCAAAATTAAATCTGCCTTCCTCCCAGCCCCGTGCTTTTTCCACTGCCAAGGTGGGGGGTGGGGAGGGCAGGGGACAGCAGAGGAGTCTTCAGGGGATGGATGGGGCATGGAGCAGAGTCACCCCTCATCCTCAGGGGAATGCAACTACTTCTGGCAGTGGGTGAGGGTGGGCAAAGGTGTGGAGTGGGAAAACAAATCTTTATGGGGAGCTATTTCTTTTATTTTTTTATATTTCAATTTAAAAAAATAATAAAGAAGTGTGCCCTATTTATCAAAGGGGAGCATCAGACATCACGGCATGGACTCTGGCTTCCAGGACAGGAAGGTGCTGGGGTGATGCCTACACATACCCAGTCTTGTCTCCCACAGGACTCATGTACTTTACTTCTCCTTTCAAACCCCTGTCATACATGGTGTTCTGTGTTCCCTGGAGGTTTACATATGATGTTTAGGTATGACGCCAGGAAACCTGCAGCATTTTCCTTGCCCTGTGGGATGTGGCGGGAAATTGTTTCAGGCTGGCAGAGCCTGCTTGCCTCTAGAGATGAATTTGACTTAAAAGCCAATTTTTCATTTCTTATTCAAGTGGATAGCTTAAGAGAAATACCTACAAGAAATACCTACAAATACAAAGTCCTAGATGTGAGCTTAAAGAAACATGCTTTCTCCAATTATCCCTAAGAGAGAAGAGGCCAGATGGGAACATATGAAGTGCAGAAATAGAAGCAAATCCTGATAATCACAGATGTCACAAAATGATTAGTTTCATGCACCACTGCCACAGCCCAGCTCCATGTTATTTATAATAATGATGATAAAAGGAACAATATTCTTGAATGCCTTACCACGTGCTAGAAACTACTCTATATACTTCACTTCATGGAACCATCCCAGCAACCTTATGAGTAGGGGATCATTCCTTCATTAAACAATTCATTCAATAAGTATTTATTGGGGTACTGCTATGGAAGCCAAGCATAATCCTTGGTTTCGGGGATATGGAGGTGAAAAAGGATAAAGTACTTCCCCTTAAGGTTTTAAGGTCTAGTGGGTGGAGACAGAAAATAAATAATTGAAGAGGTATATAATATACATTTGGGTAGGGATTGGGGCTGCAAAGGAAAATAAAAACAGACCAGGCCTTGGAAAGTGATAAGGAAGGTGTCTCTGACAGGTGACATGGAGCAGAAACAGGAAGGAAGTTGGGAGTGCGTGAGCTATGCTGGAAAAGAGCATGCAGGGGAGTGGGATGGAAAGGCCCTGCCAAGAGAGCATGGCCAGTGTATCTGAGAGCCACCAGGAGGTCCTGTGTCTGGATGAGAACAAAAGGGAGGGAAAGGGCAGAGATGCCACGAGCACCTCTAAGCTGGGCCCTGCAGGGCATGGCAAGGTCTTATCTTAAGGGTGATAGTTTTCAGCAGGAAAGTGACAGGGTCTGATTTTTATTCAGTGGCATGGAAAACAGATAAGGAGGGCAAGATGGAAGCAGGAGACCAGTTGGGAGATTCTTCAATAATCCCGATGAGTAGCAATTTTGGCTTGGCTTAGTATCATTATGGTAAGACGTGGCTGAA